ATGGCGAGGCAAATTTCGTAGTTGCAAAAATCGCGAGCCACATCTCTCCCGGAGTGACAACGATACGACACGACGGGGAATATAATTACGATTCCTACACGCGCTAAATATACAAGAGCCGCCACAATTGTTCCATAAATATTACTCGCGCGCGCGGGGACGTGCAGAATCTTCGTGTACATACGATAACGCGGCAAGACTCCGCATTTCGCTCCGATATGTGCCTCTACATGAGCGTTTTAATTATATTCGAGGTGTCTTCTCATTCTATTTAAAACTTAACTTAAGTCCACACTTTCTCGTCGCGTTGGCGGGGCGAGCGCGCGCGGCCAGCGAGCATTATGCGACCGCATAACGTAGCGTTCGTTCGGATCACTGCCTCTGCCAACAATGTATCCGAGTGTGAACATCACATTATATTTCTAACCGTCGAAGACGTAAGACGCGAGAATTGCTAACTTCGTTCGCAATACACACGCACGCGTGCACGCGGGTGCACACGCACGTCGCGTACGCCGGCCGGCGTTGACAAACTAATCCCCGCGCTATACCGGGTGATCGTAAAGTATGCGCTGACAAGCCGGCAGTCGTGTTGTATTTTCGTGGTCGAGTCGTGCCTGATAAATTTCACACGCTAACCTCGCGAGCGCGCGAACTGACATAACCGCGCCAGGCCTCGGAAACTCAAAGTTGATGAAATTTCCGCGAGAGAGCTTTGTGACGCAACCGATACTTTGCACTAATCGTCCTCGTCGTTGCGGCGAGGCGCGTATTAGAGCGTTTAAAAGTGGCCTCGAAGCAACATTTTGCCCGAGAATCAAGCCAATGCGAGAGAGATCATGTTAATGTATCGTCTTAATGATCATTATGTGTGAGTGATCATATTTGCTTCAAAGTAATCACATTTGACAACTATGACTCTTTTACACGCCATATTGTTGGATCACAAATATAACATGAAGAGGTTCCGCCCCATTAATTATTATACGTGACATCCGCTTCTTCGTACCGCAACGATTTTCGATTATCACTTAGCTCCTCGCACCGTTCGAGAATACGTTCGAGACGAATGGTATCCGCTGCATACGAAAGCAGACATTGTCACATTAATAACAACTAGCTGAAGTTCCTTGCACTAACGGTCGCGTTAGCCATTGAAACCAATTCTGGGCTGTTGATGGCACCGCGAATTAGCACGGATTAATCGTACGAAATCGATTGATGCGTTACAACTTTGTCGCGTTAATCGAGCAACAAGTAACCAGCCCTAAGTATTTTAATGACGATGCGCTCAAATGTTGTATAAATCGTATTTTGCATTTCACTCAATTAAATAGCTCAGCAATAGCTTCCGTTAATCTGTCGTAGCATCACACAGTACTCTGTCAGCTATTAATAATGCGAGTGCCGTAAAAATGAGTAGAATACAGGAAACTTGGATATTGTTCGTTCATTCTCCCGTTGTTAACAAAGGATTATTAACACAGTTTGCTGAGTTACCGCATGCTATCGTAACTATTAACCCCCTCCAATTTCTCTATTTTTAGAATTTTATAGTAAATTTTCAAACGCGCGCTCCGATTTTGTAATATACAATATTATATAAAATTTCTAGTGATATTCGATCCTGGATTGTTGTTGTGTCAAAAACTTAGTCGAACTGAAATAATCAATCCTGCTACGCTGAAAATCAATACAGCAGACAATCAGTATGAAAATGAATGGTACGTGCGCTCGTACATGCGCCGAGTTCGATACCAGTTAAGTTAACTGGTGCGAAATGGGTTTACCGCGGTAAAAGGCGGGTTGTACCGGCTAACCCCTTCAGTGGGCTATTATCTGCACGCGTGTGCCCTTAGCCTATTTTTTTATTTACGACGCGTAAGTCGACCCCATAATACCGCGACAAAAACAATTCCGATATAAGCAGCCTGCTAGTGTTTCTTTTTTTCTTTCATCTGACAGTTGAATTTATGACAATGTCTTATCGAATATTTTTTTTATCATGTGCACTAAAACCATTCGTGTCCCTTGATACAAGTTATAATTACAATCACGTGTTTTAATAGACTAAGCAAAAGTTGGTATAGGGGTTTAAAATGAAAGGAATAGATTTATCAGGAAATCTCTCTGCCCGTATTATACGCATAAATTATTTGGCCATTTAAATCAATAGAAGTTTGGTCATTTAAATTAACAACGCAATTTTTTCAATAAATGCCTGATATTATTGATTAAGATTAGTGATATCAATTCCGACCGCCCGGGTATCTCAAATACTATTCGAGTACCCGAGTAGAACTGAATACTCAGGTTATATTGGTAGCACTAATTGAAATGGTATCTACAATGATTAAGTTGTTACATTTTTCGCAGCTTCAAATTCAGCTAGATTAAATCCATGAAATAAGAAGGAAATTTGTTCAACTTGTTTTGAAGTAATTGTCGAATAATTAAGTGTAAAAGAGAGTCACGGGGTATACTGGACGGGTACACCACAGCGGTGAGGGACTTTGGTTAGCCGGTAATTTTTACTAGAGTAAATGACAGTTTGATTTGTATACAATCATAATTTACATAATCATAATTTCTCTATTAATTTTTATCTTTAAAAGATAAGAATTACTTGAAGAGAAAAAGTCTTAATACATGGCCAACTGAATTTTGTTTTCTCATTGAAAATATTTTCTACTACGTGTAATAATTAAAAAATTTTAATGGATAACTGTCATTTACAAACAATTATTTAATTCCATTATTTCTCACAACGTTTAAAACATCGTGCTACCCTTTTCATGTTTCATCTAGTACTCTTCTTCAATTACGACTCTGCAATTGTCAGAATGAAATTTTAAATTCCAAAAAAATTTAATGCCCATCTATCAGATTTGTATATAACAATTAATCCAGTTCGTAGAGAGTAATTCAATTTGTGCCGAGACATTTACACATTGATTTTGGCAAATGTAGACATTTTTCGGCTTCGCTCTATCGAATCATCGATAAAACATTGATATCATTTTGAAGATTGTCAAACTTCTAGCTTGGATGTTTTCCCAAGAAAGGATGTTTACTTATACTATCAAGACAAGGGGTTTTGGCGGGCTTAAGAACCCAAGGGTAGAATGAGAGGGAAAGAGAGGGGGAGTGAGAGAGAGGGGGGGGGGGGGGGAAAAAGAGCAAAGTCGAAAAAATAAANGATAGACGGAGCGAGAGGGGAATAGATCGGACGGGAAGGATGGGGAATGAGAAGAAAAAGAGGAAGGAATGAAGAAGGGAACTAGCGATCGGCAGGGGTTGGAAAAGGGCGGTCGGGGAGTTGAAAATATGAGATCCGCTCTGGTAGGGACCACCTAGCCAGCCTCCGGTTCTTTCCGCGGCCTCCCGCTCCTTCCCGCGGCTTATCCCCACTGCCGTGGTGTCCTTTCCGAGATCAGACGGTACGCTCGCATAGTAGGGGTGCTCTCAGAGCGCAGGATTGGTCGCGCTGGGGGCTGGCCTACCCCTACTACGTGTCGCAGTGTCCGCCTATTCCCCACCAATAGCTCTGCGCCTCCTCCAGGCATTGCATCGGTCGTCCGGTAGCTCTTAGTTTCAGGTTAGGAGCCTGCTAGGACGGGTCTCGTTCTCTCTTCTTGAGGTCATTCGGGCAAGAGCGGACGAGAGGGTTCGCAAACCGGGTGCACCAGTGGAACCACGAGGAAGGAGGAAAAGGGAAAACAGGGGAGGACACTGAAAAACGTACCGGCCTCTCACCACTCTGCTGTTCAGCGGAGGAAGTTGGACGTGACGTCAGACTCGCTATCAGGCCGATGAGACTCGAGAGACTCTGTCGGGAGCGGATTACGAAGGAGAATAGATTTCGGAATCGATCAAGTGTTACGTCGAGTGTCAGCAAAGTGTTCCGAATCTCGCAGTGATCACCCTCGCGAGCCGCAGGGGACCTCCGTGTTTGTTCGTTTGTGCAGTCGATTGTGCGTCCAAAGTGAGCGAGTGTCGCGGACTGGGTCCTCGTTGGCGCAAGTGAGGAACATTGCTCCGTTCGTGTGATGCGGCAGACCTGCTCGCGCTATCGCTACGTGGACGAAGACGGCGACGAGGAGGTCGACGTTGATGTCAGCGGACTGTCCGTGAGAGACTTTGGATTCGTGACGAGTCCGCGGATGGTCCGGGTCAGGAGTTCCGAGACTACCTAACGGATCATCACGCGACACCACGATCCGTCGATCGGGTAAGATCGAGACGCTCAGCACGGTGTTAATGATGCCGCGGTATCGAGCACGGTTTCGACAGAAGTGAAATGATCGGCTGATCTCCGTCGGGATTTCCAGTGTCGTTGTGTCGGATCCCCCACCATTGTTTGGACAACACCGATGACAGGGTGTCGGCGCATCCGAACGACCGGCTCGGGTCACAGGTCGACCGGGGAGAAATTCTCCGATCGGGAAAGATTCGACTTAGATTAAACCGATAGATAGAGATACATACTGTGCGAGTGAGAATTGTATCGCGGGGTGCACGCAGAGCGCGGCCGGAGAAAGCATTCGAGAGGGAAACTCATGAAAGTCAAGTGTGCGCGGTGCCACGACGGAGTGTCAGCCCGGCGATGTTGATCGCGAGGCAATAACAAACACGAAAGTGCAAGCTGTCGAGCGGACGCGCGCCGCGCTGCGTCGTGGACTGCCGGTGAAAGACGGTACCGACGGAACCGCCGCCTAAAACGTGTTCCCCGATCGCGACCGGCAACGGAGGCGGAGGAGGAGGCGGCGGCGGAGGCGCCAAACGAGGAAGAGCAGTTTTGGGCCCGCCGGAGAAGCTCGAAGCCGTCAAAGTGGCTTCGTCACTGGGGCTCCAAGGGCCTTCTGCGCCGATCGGGGCCCAACTACTGGCTACTGCTGGTTCGGAGGATGCGCCGGCCTTGTACCACGCCAATCTGGTAGCCGGTAGTAACACCTCTGTCGTGACAGCGGCGCTCCAGCAGCCCATCCTAGCGAGTCTGAACTCAGCGGCATTGGCCAGCATGCAGGCCTCCGCGGAGGCCAACTCGCTGGATATACAGGCCATGCAGTCCATGGACTGGCTCTTCAAGAAGGAGCGCATATACCTGCTCGCCCAGTTCTGGCAACAGGTAAGTGTACGACACTACGCGTTCGGTAACTGCCGAGGGGAGTTTGGTGCTGTTGATTAGTGCGGACGGGGAGGGGTGGGCGAATAGGGTAAGCCTTGTCGCGCCGTGCAAGACTAAAGTGGTATTCGGTCTTCGCGTTTGAGTGAGGAAGTCTCCGCCGGAGAGTTTGGTGTTGCCGATGCAGTGCGAGCGTAGGGAAAAATCCGCAAGTCCCTCTCGTCGCGACTGCGTGCGACGAGGATTAGTGCGGATAGGCCGAACACCGGGTAGTTTTCGATCACGCGAGAGCGAAGTGATAGCGATTGTGTCGATTGGGTGTATTCGGTATCGAGGAAGGCTTCGTGAGTGTGCGGCGTATATCCGGAAGTGGGCCGCTCGGCATTGGCGTGGGGTGAGATAATCCCGGAGGGTTGCCGGAGGGTTCGACCGTGTTACGCGTTCGCCGCTGGTAGAAACGTTTAAATCAGAAAATCTACTCGATGCGGGTAACCCAGTCACTCGATACCCGCCACCAGTGTTTACGCGACGCGAGCACGGGACGCTGTACCGTAATTTGAAAGGAAAATACGCGTATTTTAAAACCAGAAGGCCTTACGCTTTCTCGTTAAATGTGCGCCGATACCGCGCTAGAAATGTCACCACGATATGCTGGAGCTACCGGTCACACCGGTAACGTACCTTCGATGATCGCAATTACACGCGCAAAATTACGAGTACGTCTATAAAGTTATCGTGATTGTATATATCGGGCGTGTTGAATCGAAGAGACGAACGGTCAAAGATGTCCGGTATTCTCGTATTCGTTTCGGGAAACGATAACTCTCAAAGCGTCTGTCGGAAAGTACCCGGCTAGGATTGACTTATATGTGACGTACCATAATAATCTTACTTCGGTTAAAGAGCAACTCGTAAATTTTGCATTTCTTTTGACACATCTGAAATTTGCGCGGATATTCTTATCGGCAGCGGAAAGACACGGTGCGAAAGGGAGTGAGAGATTGTTGTGCCCGCGGTTCATCGGAAGAGCAATATTTCGAAGCATAAGCGAGAATATGTTGCTGGTCGGAATAGAAAGAGAGAGAGAGAGAGAGAAAGAGAGGAGGGAGGGAGGAGACAAAACTAAATTTTAATACATAGTATTAGACAGCGGCAGGACGTATTAATACTTCATTCATTCCGACAAATTTAGAGAAAGAGAGAGAGAGAAGGAACGTAACCAAACGTCTCCGAGATTACTAATATTTATCTACCGTATCTCGCATCTACCTCAAAATCGTATATATTTCTTATTATTGATCACCGTATATCGGACTACCCCAGAAACTGTCGCGATTCTACGTGAAATTTTCGCGAAATTTACTTGCCGATAAATAAAAGCATATCACCTGTCACATCACTGACAGTGTGATCCTTAGAGAAAGCATACGGATTTAATTGACAGGCGAGCATCGGAGCAGTTTAATTATAACTCGCGCTTTAAGAGCGTAGCGTACGAAGTCATGTGTTTCGATAAATGTTGACGAACCGGCATGTGCAGAGAGAGAACGGTTAATACGAAAAAATTAAATAATACGATTCGCCACACTTCTCCGACAATATTGATGGATAACGCAAGCCACTGATATCCATTACGATTGGATCGGTCGTTTGCTGTAAGACCCGTCATTGGAACTATTTGTATCGTTGACCATTAGTGAGAGAAAAAAAAAAGAACAATCTGCCGTTTCGCCGAGGCGAAATGAGAAGAAATTAAAAAAGATTTAGCATGTCTGTGGTTGACGAATCTACAGCTGTCACTACACTGCGCGCTATGATTTATAAGTCGCTTGCTCATTAAGATAATTTGTATGTTTGAAGCGTTTTGTCAAATGTCACTATCAAACGCCGCGTCTCGGGCGGCTCGAAAATAGAATTACTCGTCAGTTAGCTCCGTAAATAATTTCAGGCTGTCCGTTGGTGGTAAATCTTCCATACCGCAAAATCTTTCGGCACCTCGTCCGTAATTGCTCGTTGGTCAGATTCTCGGCCACTCGGCCGATTCTAGGGTCGAACGGCGAAGGTGTGAGGGTGGCTAACATCGAAGTTTCCCTAGTGCGGTACTTGGTGTTTGGAGGATAGTTTAGCGATTTGGGGATGGCGCGGCCGACTTGTGGCAAAGTGGCCGACATAGAAGGGGGTTGTCGCTCGCTGATAAACGATAAAGCCCCACCAAAACGTACCAATGTTAATGACTGGACGCAGGAAATGCAGACGTTCATCGCATCCTTTGATTAGAGGAAGTCGACCGCGGAACGAAAAGGGGAATAATCAGACAGATGTGAATGAACGACGAGTTCCGCGACGTATTCGATACTTTATCGAACATTTTTCCACGAAATTTATTCGAGAGAGTTATCACAATTAGAATTATCACACAATAAAATTATCACAGTTTTTAAAACGTTCCTAGTTAGTTTCCCGACGTGGTTTTATTTGCTTTACGTTAAAAACATGAAATCCGCTGATCGTTATATATTTTATTAAAAAATAAATACGCATACGCGTGCTCTTCTTCTTCTGTAATCTTATCATATTTTTCAATCTTATAATCATTTGCTAATAAATAATGAGGTAAAACGCAAGCCAATTATTATCTGTGTCAACATTGACAAACGTAAAAGTTTCGCGAACTGGCCTAATATTGCCTAGACGACGCAATGCGGTGTATTTTATCAGTTATTCCCTTTTAGCGCGTAATAATGTTAAGAGACCATAATCAAACGTTGGCAACCCTCGCTCGTTATTGCCCAACTACCGGTTTCCTATAAAATACACCCGCTTAATAACGCGCGAACTAGTGCCGCACCGTCCTTCACCACGAGATTATGACCTGTGCAACCCGAAACTATTAATAGCGCATAGTTTCATAATTATGTCTATTGATTAGGCTTAACTAATGACGAACTAATGACGTAGGCACGCCACTCTCTAACCTCGAAAATCGGAAGTTGCTTTAGGTTAAATCTCCGTATACATCTTAAATACTAATAGCGTGGACATTGCGAAGTAATATTTTTCCTGAAATATTTAGAATATATTTTAGAATATATTTCAGATATACAGTAAAAATGTTTCTGTTAAATTTCACATGCCCGAAATGGTTTACTGAAATTTTTGTGTTTAATTTAGCGCACGATATATATGTTGAAAAGTAACACAAAGTATCGTGTCCAAAATTAATACATTAATTGACATTGAAGTATAAAATGTGTTAACACTTATACATATTGAATATCGACACAACATAAAATGTTGAGATAACACAATATGTTAAATTAACACACGAATATGTTAAAAATTTAACAGAAATGTTGACACAAATACAAAATGTACTCTCATTGAGATTAATCGTCATTAACACCTGAGATGAAATTTGATAGAAGTAACGCTACTTGGAAGATAACGTTAAATTGAAACCGAAAATCAGTTACAAAGAATCAAAGTATATTTATCACGGGAATAAAAATATCAATTTTAAGTATTACTTGTCATTTTTTCTGCTAAGTGTGAATAGTTTATTATACGTTAAACTCATAAGATATTCGCATGACAAAACGCGCAATGACATAAAGTATATTGCTTGGTCTGGCGATGCGCAGAAGATTGCAGTGCAATTTTCTGACTCGCGCGCTGCGTACGACAATCGAGTGAGTCTTCCAGCTCGTTAACATAGTACATTTCTCGACATCGTCATTTTGACTTTCGACGTTGACGTTTCGTCAATCTTGCCCATCATTCGAGCGACAAAAATATTCTTTATTACTACGGATCAGTAGCTATTTAAAGGTAAAATCAAAAGAAAATGATTGTGTGAAAAAAACCATTTGATTCATTTGCATATAGCACAAATATTATATTTGAGAAATTTTACTAAAATAATGTAAGTTACAGTGAGTCATTTTAGCTTATCATAACAACATGACAATAACTTCTGATTTTCTCTCACTTATATACTGAAAAATTATATTACGCGCTGTATATATCTAGACATTTATTTCGTTGAAAACGTAATACGTCTTTTTAATTACAAAACTTGCTGTCTACTTGTAAATTACAAGGCTTCTTTCTAAACACGTAAACCATCACATGATGATGTAAATCAATCTTTGGAAATTAGTCATCACGTAAATTCCTTAGTGAAATTAAAACGAGGAATGTTTTTATCGCAACATAACATTGGAGATGGTTATATATCGCATAAGAAAGTATATTTTGAATACTGCAGCGGTACACGCCGATGATTAACATACAATTTATCATCAAGAAAATAATAATGTTTACCGTTAAGTAGAAAAGATGCGTGAGTCATTGTATTGCGCCATAAAATCGTAAAATTGATATCTGTCAAATTACAATTTCTGCACCACGATCGAATCGAGCTATGGTGTGCAATGTTCCGAAAAGTTAGGTCGTCGCAAATCCACATTCTGTTTCTATAAAAAAAAATTTCTGTAAAAAAAATCGCTACAACAATGTCTCCAATTTTAAAACGAAATAACAACTTCCAAGACCATGATTGAAAAAAGCACCGCATTCAATTCTAGTGATCAAACTTTCTGTTCACCAAACGGAAATTGCATTGACGTGTGCGAATGTGTACGTAGCGAATATAACTTCCTTTAGATAAGCATGCATGAATGCTTACAAATAATACACATAGATATAGTATAGAGGGCACTTCTACGCAGGACGATTTTCGCATGTAATTGGTGGCGAAAAAGGTTGTAACGCATTTTTTTTTTTTTTTCGATGTGTTTTGGAACGGAGGAAAATCGTGAGAACAATCACGCAATTTTGATCTCCTTTGAGACTCATCAAATTGAAAAGTATTGCAAACTTTCCGTTACCGACTATATACGCATATACATGTATATGAATTCGTATATTTGCCGCCAAAAAAAATTCAATTTCCGTCAATCCTGATGCTTTCATCATGTTTGCTTTTAAACGAAACAATTGCC